AGTAAACCTTTTTATGAAAGTAGTAATGATTGAAACATCAATGAAATCAAAAAAGTGATATTTTATACAGTTCAGTTATTGTTGTCAATTAACCAAAAATACTTCATTACATATTTTGCCACTATTTTTGCACAAAAAATAGCGGATTAGTACTTTACAATGATATTGATTTTCTTGTTTAGGTCAGACTTTTATTATCCCTTGTTTCGTGAACAGGAGCCAAAAATGAAATAAAAATAAAATTTTATTTCAGAGTAATTTCTCGCGCCCGCCAACTTGTAAGCGCAAAAAATTGCTAAAAAAAAATATTATTTTTACCACCCGACACATAACAAATCCAAGTTGCATTTTCATGGGAGTATCATGATCAAAATACTGAGGTCTCGTGCAGATGAGAAACAAGGTTATACATGGAATAAAATTTATTTCATTTCTTCTCTCCGATCAATGATCTCACTTACATCACACAAATATAATGGAAAAATAAATTAATTTTATTTTTCTTCCGCCCTCCTCAAAATAATTGCCTTATAAAAACCAGAGAAACAAGGAATAAAAAAAGTCTGGCCTTACTGATTTAAGCCATTACTCATAAAACTAAACGTAATAGTGTATAATATACATTTTACGAAAAATGAAAAAAATGTACAAACCCTATAAATAAATAATGTAAATTATATGCTAATTATTATGCAAATTAGTTGCCAACCTTAACATTGTATATACATCAGTCAAAAACCATCAGGCGTTGAATAAAATTCAGAAATGAAGTATCAACTTGATATCCACTATCTTGACAAAAAACATTGGAAAATAAGGGATAAAATTCACATATCCCGGTACAGTGACGCAGCAGTAAATGCACACCAAATACACTTTATTTTCTGTTCATTGGGATATCTATATCACACGCAAAAAATTAGGTAACTTGATTATGTTAATAAAAAAACAATAACATCATGCATGACAACCGTTGCCCATTAACAACATGCTTACAGTCGAGATTTTATTTGTTACCATATTATCACTTTATCAAACTGTCTTTAATTTTATGTAATTTTTTGAACTATTTATTAGGAATTAATAATTATAATAATTTTAAATCTTGAAAACATGATGTACATGGATTACTGTTAGATTTAAACAAAAAAAGATTAGTTCTAAGTTCAGATAAAAAATAAGATGCTAATTAATATGCGAATGTTTTTCTAATTAATGTGTAAATAAGCCACCTAAGGCTACTTAGTGTGACTTTACACTGTTATGCTGAGAAAGGCAGTTGTTTCATGCTGTAACTATGATTCATTATTTGCATTAAAAAGATTCCAGATTTTAGGAATGCTGTTATTGTTGCCAGAAATCCTGGTTCAGCCAAAAGAGCCACATCATTTGCAGAGCGGCTTCGATTAGCATTAGCTGTTATCCATGGAGAGCAGAAAGTTTCAGAGTCAGAAGTTATTGATGGAAGACATTCTCCGCCCACTATATCACAGCACAGAGTGGTAGGGATTGGTCTGGAAATGGTACCAAGTAAGTTATTCAAAAGATGCTGAACATGTTTAAAAATGAAGTTCTTGCACAGTTCATATCGAGAAGATGTATACAAAAATGTTATTATGAAAATACTGCAAAGTATGCATATAAGATAAGATAGTATAATACCAACCAACTTTGTGTTATCTTCATACTATTCACTTGATAAACAATGTATTTGTTTCTTTTAGTGTTAACTGCAAAAGAAAAGCCACCGATCAATGTTGTAGGTGATGTTGGTGGTAGAATAGCAATTATAGTGGTAAGATTTTACTCTTTACTTTAGTTGTTTGTCACCTTGTATACAAGTTTTATACAAATTATTATTAGCCTTTGAGGACCAAGTCCGCCCAAGGCTAGCACTTTGCCTTTGGTCTGTCCGTCTTTCAAGGCTCTTAACTTTGATACGCTCTGTCCAATTTATTTCATAGTTGGTGCACATGTACATCTTAATGCCATACATGTGCACACTTATATTTTTATGTTTTGCCAAAGTTTTTCTTTGATTTTTAGCTCCGCTGTCGACTTTGTCGAGCGGAGCTTATCATATGAGTGATTGTCCGCCAGCGTTCGTGTCAATGTTTTACTTTTCGACTTTGCAGTTAGTGTGTCTGTGTGCATGTCTGTTCCACTGACATCTCAAGAACCATACATTGATTTTTGATGAAACTTGGTGCATAGATGCTCCAAACTAATGCACAGATTTGATTAGTTTCAGGTAAAAATCTGTGCAATATTAATTATCTAATTTGCATAATGATTAATCAATTTTCGGCTTTTCCACTGAAATCTCAAGTACTAATCATCACATGTCAATGAAACTTAGTACATAGATGTCATAGGACACTGCACAGACCTGATAGTTTTTAGGGTAATGTCAGTACATATTAATTACCTAATTTGCATAATTAATTAATTTTCAGCTTTTGATATTCGAAGTAGTAATCATCACATTTCAATGAAACTTGGTACATAGATGTCATAGGACACTGCACAGACCTGATAGTTTTTAGGGTAATATCAGTACATATTAATTACCTAATTTGCATAATTAATTAATTTTCAGCTTTTGATATTTCAAGTAGTAATCATCACATTTCAATGACACTTGGTACATAGATGTCATAAGACACTGCACAGACCTGATAGTTTTTAGGGTAATGTCAGTACATATTAATTACCTTGTTAGCATAATTAGTTAATTTTCAGCTTTTTGCCTGATATCTCAAGTACTAATCATCATATTTCAATGAGACTTGCTACATAGATCTTCTAGGAATATGCAGCGACCTGATTAGTTTTAATTTGCATAATATTCCACTGATATATAAAGAATCACAAATTGGATTTTAATAAAACTTTTAAAGAGAACTATGCAGAGACCCAATTAGTTATTGGTAAATATTTATGCTTATTAATCACCTAATTAACATAATTAATACTGATACTAGTATCTGAATTACTGATCATCACATTTGAAAAAAATTTGGTACATAAATGCTCTAGGACAATAGACAGGCCTGATTAATTTTGGGTTAAAATTTGTTCATATTAATTCTCTAATTAGCATAATAATTCATAATTTTTTTGTTCTGTTTATATTAGTTACCTGATTTACATAATTAGTTTTCAGCTTTTCCATCAATATCTCATGTACAAGTAATTTTGAATTAATTTTTAATGTGTCTTCAATACTCTCAGCACACAGGAGTTCTTTCTAAGCTTTTTTTGATTCTACTTCTTCTTGAAAACTACAAGCCTGAATGCTTTGATACTTTGTGTATATGTACGTTGGGTAGACCTTTCTTAGATTTGTTCATTTTTAGCTCCGCTGTCGACTTTGACGAGCGGAGCTTATCATATGAGTGATTGTCCGTCGTCGTCCGTGTCAATGTTTTACTTTTTTGACTTCTTCTTGAAAACTACAAGCCTGAATGCTTTGATACTTGGTGTATATGTACCTTGGGTAGACCTCTCTTAGGTTTGTTCATTTCATGTTGATATCTTCAATTCTCTAATTTTGGTGAATATTTTTGTCATTTTTGGTAAAAAGTGATATTTTCGACTTCTTGTTAAAAACCGCAAGTGCAATTGCTTTGATAATACATATATAGGTACTACATGTGGACCTCTCTCAGATTTGTTCATTTTGTAATGATATCTTTAATTATCTAATTTTGGTGAATATTTTTATCATTTTTGGTAAAAAGTGATATTTTCGACTTCTTGTTAAAAACCACAAGTCCGATTGCTTTGATATTACATATATAGGTACTACATGTGGACCTCTCTCAGATTTGTTCATTTTGTGATGATATCTTCAATTTTGTAATTTTTGGTAAAAAGTGATATTTTCGACTTCTTGTTAAAAACCAATAGTTCAATTGCTTTGATATTACATATTTAGATACTACATGTAGACCTTTCTCAGATTTGTTCATTTTGTGATGATATCTTCGATTCTATAATTTTGGTGAATATTTTTGTCATTTTTGGTAAAAAGTGATATTTTCGATTTCTTGTAAAAAACCAATAGTCTGATTGCTTTGATATTACGTATATAGGTACTACATGTGGACCTCTCTCAGATTTGTTCATTTGTGATGGTACCTTCAATTCTCTAATTTTGGTGAATATTTTTGTAATTTTTGGTAAAAAGTGATATTTTCGACTTCTTGTTAAAAACCAAAAGTTCAATTGCTTTGATTCTATACATATTGTTCATTTTCTAATGATGTCTTCAGTTCTTTAATTGAAATGTGCATTGCTAACAGCGGAGCTATCTCAGCCGATAGGCTGCTTGTTTTATATTTTCAACTTTTTGTTAAAAACTGTAAGTCTGATTGCTTTGATATTACATATATAGGTACTACATGTGGTCCTCTCTCAGATTTGTTCATTTCGTGATGATTTTGTTCTTCAATTATCTAATTTTGATGAATATTTTGGATAAAAAGTTGTATTTTCAAATTTTTGTTGAAAACAGCAAGTCCAATTGCTTTAATACTATACATATTGTTCATTTTCTGATATCTTCAGCTCTTTAATTAAAATGTGCATTGATAACAGCGGAGCTATCTCAGCCGACAGGCTGCTAGTTTTCAAAGTGTCATTTTACCTGTTCTGGTTTGCTGAGAATAATGCTCACCAGGATGGAGAGTGCTATAAACTTGTTCATTATTGGATTGCAAACTGTATGGTGATTACTGACTTGTAGTTACAATGAAAAATTGATACAGATATAAAGCCGGAACCTATATCGAACACAATA